ATTTAATATTTTCATTGAGTTCCCAAAAAACTTTGCGTTGAGCGGTCAGCAGTATTTAAGGCTCACACAAACACACCTCAGCCCTTGGCCAAACATTTCTGAGGTCACTGTTGAATTTGATGCCCGGGCTAACTTTTGATACGCAAAGGCAAAAGTTTTAAGTAGTGGCTTAAATTTTATATATTTCTATCCAAAAATTCTCTGGCTCGGTGTGTTCTTTCCGACTTTTTGCTGCCCGCTTGGCAAGTTTAAATGTTTGTCGAGAATTTTAATTCATTTATAAAATATGCCCGGCCTTTGGGTCTATGTATATTCCCAAGACCACTTTCTCGCTCTCTCTCTCGTGTGGATTAAGTGCAGTCGCTCGGTCGACTCTTAAATTAATGAAATTCTGTGTGTTTCAAGTGTAAGTTAGCCGTAAGCTTTTTGTCTCTACGCCAATTAGCAGACTGGATGGAAACAGCTGCAAAACTTGCCGAGGAACTAAGCATAGGCAAAAGTTTTGTGTTGAGGAATATGTGTGCGAAATTGCTACTTGTGGGTGGGTTTTTGGGTTTTGTTATTTAAGATCTTTTAAAGGTTTATTTTTCAAATTTATGAAAATAAATCAAGATGGGTTTTGTGAGATGTCTATTAGCTAAATTGTTTAGGTTTATTAAGAGATGGTGAGATGATTTGAAGAGGCAACATTTTAATTGTTTTCAATGGTTTATTTAATTTATTTGTATGTTACAATGTTTATATGTTATGTTTATGTTTATGTTTCGTGCGCTTTATAGTAATTTTTTAGTAATTTTTCAATGCATAATATTTATTTAATCAAGTAAAATTTTAATTTAGAATTTATTGTACATCTACACTTTTGTATTTCACACAACTTACGAATGTTTAACAATTCTTTCCAACACCTATTGAATATTTATTTCATTTTATGCCCTTAAAATCATTTTTATTCCTTCAGGAGGTACTAGGCAGGACCTCCCTGACCAGTTACTTCAATTACCAATCTATTGTCTAACTTAATGTTTGCTCTCCTGCGGCCATCGATACGTGAACTCCTTTGAACAATTTAGTTTCGGCAACTTCGTCTTGCAGTCTTACTCTGGTCAAAAAGTTAAATGTTTTCGTTTTGGGAACTTTTTAAATGCTTTCACGATACTTGACTGTGCGTTTTTTTTTGTTTTTTTTGGAGCCACCTTGGCAACTACCTTTTTGGCCAAAATCACATCGCACAACTTTTACTTGCTTCCATTACTTTTATTTCTGCGGTCGCTGTGGCAACATCTTGTAGAATGGAATTTATGCTACTCGCACTTGTTACCCATAAGAAGACAAATCGATGAGAGTTGCACACATATATATTCCAGAACTTCTGTAGTGCAAGTTGATATGTTTCTCTGTGTACTGAAACATTCGCACGAATGCCATAATTTATTGAATTTGAACTTAAGAGGGTTGCATTAATTTATTTGCCAGCTGCCGGGGTGTTTTCCACTTACCTTAAGCAATCGCAAGTTGCAGTTGCACTTGAGAGGAGTGGGAGAGTTACTGGTGCATAATCCAGTAGAGTGACATGTCAGCGTGGTTTCACTCTGATATCGGGATTAACAGCACATGCAAATTGAAGGCTGGAGGCAAGTCGCCTTCTAATCCAATTTCAATTGCTTAATCCACCATGACTGACACTAAGAGCGAAGTTGAAAGATGGCCGACGGAGGCGGAAGTGCTCCCGTGTTACTATGTCTAGTGTGTGTGTGTGTGTGTGTGTGTGTGTGTTTGGAGCGAACATCTTTACGCACCAGGGCACTTCAAACACTCGAGTTGCTATTGAATTACGCACACTCACACATGTCAACATATCATGTTACACTTCACTTTGTGTGTTCGCTAAGTAAGTTGTAGTTTGGTTCGCCAAGAGCGGAAGCGGAAATGCTCATGTTGCTGCTGGTGGTGGTGCTGCTGCTGCTGCCATCCCACATAAAATCACAATGTTGACCCTTTTATTTCGACTGGAAGTTTTATAACCAAAAAAAAAAAAATAAAAAGAATCGGGGCCACATACACGATAATAAAGGAGCTCAAGCTGTGTGTTTGCTTAAGTTTTATGTGTGCACAGATTTTACGACCGAGCTGAACAACAGCACGTAGCTCAAGGCCCGGCTTAGTGGCCCCTGAACTTTGCCCGAGGTCAGCCGGTTATGGTATGCATTTTAAATGGGATTGCACTCCTCTTCATCGCATTATTCTGTCATGAAAAAAAAGAAGAAAAGGCCACACCCGCAATAACCAAAATCCATCTGACAAGCTGGATTGCTGAAAAAATAAGAAGGCGATTCGACTGATATTCATTAAACTTCACTTAACTGATAATTGATTTTTGATACTCTTACATATTGAATAGCTGCAATTTTATTATAAAAGAGCCAAGAATTTACAGACGGTAATTGTACTATTTAAAAGCTGGATTAAATGAATATAAATCCCTTTAATAAAATGATTTTTCTCTCTTTAAAGAGCTCTTGAAAAGATCTTTATCTATTTAAATAAATAAATAATATCATATGATCAACTGCTGTTAAATATGAATAAGCTTTATTGGTAATAAATTCCTTAATAAATTAATAAAAAATCATACACTTGTAGAGCATTTATGCCATGCAGCATTTTAAAGTAAGTTTTTCTCCCTACCTTGCTTGATTTTTGTTTTTGTATAAAAACTCGGATAAAAGGATTCGTCTGCTGACAGGAGTGCAATGCGGTTTAATTAGTGCCACAGGATGGGTGTGGCAATCCAGAGACATGCACTTTTCCATCGGTCAGCAATGTGACAGCCAAAAAGCGGAAAGTGGATAAATTAACAAACAAAAGTGGCGGCAAACTTAAAGGGGGATTGGCATTGAAACACGTTTTCAATTAACGCCACTTTGCTGAGGACCGACGGCGAAGGCTAATAATGAGTTGACAAATGGCTTGTGTCAAACAAAAGCCGCGCGGAATAAACAAACAAACAACAGACAGATAGACAGAGAAACAGGAGCTCAAACCACTCCGACAGACTGAACACGTCTTCATGCCAGAGTGCGTGACTTTGGGTGGATGTAGGCAATTTACCGCCCACCGCCCAGCTGTCAACTTTGGCGACACTCATACACACCTCCCTGCAACACACACACAACACACACACAACCCACACACAACACACACCCAACACACACTCTTCAACCAAACAGAGTTGTCAACTTACAAGGCTTTGGTGGCTAAAGTGTCGCGTAATTTATTTTCCACCTCTCGTCGACGACTGACAAATGAGCTGATAATTTTCCCCCCCGTATCCTACACCATTGTCAAGGACATTCTAGGGGAAGTGGGTAGGTGGGTGGTGCTTAGGCTAATTCATGGCCGCCCGGAATTGCCTAGTCATTGGAGGAAGGCTTTGTCTAGTCGTTGACAGGAGAAATTAATTTGTGTTTGCTTGCCTGTTTGACACTCGTGAGTTATTGACGAGAAATGCGGAATACGGAATATGGAAATGCGAATGGATGAGCACAAACTATGTCAAGGGATTCGATAATAATCACAATGATGAATGAAATGAATTATTAAATAGTGAGACGAGGATGTAGAAACTTGTAGATTATACCAGCGTTTGTAATAAGAATAAAAATTGAGTCAAACTAATAGAATTGTAAAGATTTATTTATTTCTTATAAGTATGTTAGAATGAATTATTATGCTAAAAAGTAAACCACTGAATGTTTCTTTTATTTAATACCAACATTGCTTATAAATATACTTTTAATTCGTAAAAAAATATATATAAATAATCAAACAAACGATTAAAGATCGTCATACTTTTGAATGCTAAGGGATATTTTGGGACCAGCAGAAGTTAATCAATAACATCTGTGCAAAGGTGTTCGACCATTCAAAATGTTTTATAATTTTGGAATTAAATAAACAATGACAGCTTTAAACAGCAATGGTATGATTCCATAATGATAATCGATTCAAGGTCAAAGAATAACCTAAGAAGTAAAGTAGAATGAGTAAATATTATACAATTAATGTAGTATATTTTTAATCCTCTGTTTTAAGTTGCTAATTTAATTAATCTCTTTGAATAGGTAACAATATGTTTGTATATCAATTAATTGCGAATTTTTAAAATAATTCATTGTTTGATTATAAACAAGAATGTAATCAAATTATTCCGAATTGAAATTAATCATAACTAAGCCAAAAATTCATTAATTTCAATTCGGTAAGCATTTCTGTGCTAGTTTTCAATAGCTTTAAAAATGAACATAATGAAGTTAACATTTTAAAAAAGTAAATTTTGTGTTAATTTTTTTTGACAATTTTAAAGAAAAAAATTGTTAAATTTACTTTTTCTTGGGAACAATGCTAGATAGATTCGGCAGTTAGTGCTGATCAAGAATATATATGATTTATAGTGTCGGAAAAGACTCCTTCACCAAATATCAAGCTTCTGACTAAAATTATACGACATATAAACTACCTAATATTATTTAAATTATATTAAATTTTATATATATACATATATTATATATATATTATATTATTATACCGAATCTACTCATAATAATGAGTTAAGCGGAAAATATGAGTCCCATGTAATTAAAGACTATATTGAATACCTAACTAATAAGCCTCGATGGAGCCTAGATTGAATATAAATTAAAATGTAAACCTGTGTTAAAAACAAAGTTCTGGTGACATTATTCCTTAGCATCATTTCCCAATAATATTCTTCAGTTTATATATTGTAGTTTGATCATGCATTTATTTATTTAGGAACAAACATCTAAAACTTTTGCTTTGCAAAATTTGTCACAACAGTTGGGGTGCTTATGCGTATTATGATTGATCTCCAGACACTCCTGGTGGTTTACACTTGGCAGTAAGAAAACAACTGTAAGAAAATATAATTGAAATGAGGTGAGAGGATGTTCAATTCTTTCAAAGTTTAATTTACGTACTTAGCTTGTTCTTAGACCGACGGACATCGTTAATAATCTTAATCTCCTCATCACAGGTGTACACCCAATTGCAGGGCTTGTCCCATTCCGAGCAGGTAAAATCGCAGGCGCATTGATGTATCAATTTCTTTCCCCGGCAACATGGATTCGTGTTCACGACCACCTCGCAGCCATTCTTAATGTTGGTGCTAGATTGGCACTGGGAGCTAAGCTCGAACGCAACGAAAAGGAGCAGCAGAGTGAACAGGATCTTGGCAGCCATGTCGGATACTTCTCAGATGAAGTGGCTAGGCACTCGGCCCTTTTATAGTCTTCTTTCCTACCCCACGGAGTGGGTTATTTTTAATTTTTTGTTAAAATGAAACAGCTCCTTTCAACAGTTGTGTACACACAGACTCGCGGGCAGGGGTATAAAAGCAAGACGTTAAGCAGGAATTGTCTGAGTGCTCTGCAAGCAAAACATGGCCGCCATACGAATTCTTCTGATATCCCAGCTTCTAGCCTGCCTCTGGGTCTCGGTTTCGTCCTGTCTACCCCCACCACCTGTGAGCAGCTGTGTGCCCTTCGTGGGTGTGAGTGGATGCGTCAATTCAAATATTAAGGAACCCAAATTGCCGCCCAGAGATAATGCTTGCTGTGGACCCCATTGCACCTATACTGCACAAAAACCACCAGGATGCTGCAATAACACTGTTACAGGACTTTGTATCCTGGATACGCACTGCGATTACAACGTGGCCTTTTACTATACCAAAATTTCAAACTGCCAATTGCGTTCCATTAATGAAGAAAGGCTAAAGAAGGGCTATGCACGTGAGTATATATATATTTAATTTTATATCCTTTTGGTTGCTGCATTTATCCCTATTTTAATTATACAGGTTTGCTGGCATTCGATATGAACAAAAAAACTTGCAACCTTCAGAATAAAAAGTGTGGTATTAATTGCTGCTGCCGTGAGACATGTCCAACTCAGTTTTGTAAAGTTTGTTAATAAAAATGAAAAGTTTTGACCAAATTATAAGTGAATATAAAGTGTTTCCTTGAAAGCTAATTAAAGATATTTTCAATTTTATATTAATTAGGAAATTTAATTATATTTGATCTGCAGCTCTGCTCAGTTAAATGTTAAAATATAAAGAAGAAAGTCTTAATCTCTTCGTGTTGTAGAAGTTTTTATAACCATAAAAAAAATAAAATAATATAAAATTCAATAAATTTGCCAATTAACTATTCAAGTATCTATCATAATCATGTGCGTTTCACAAGTGCTAAACTCTTAAATTTATATTAATGACTTAAATGCATACTCATTTTAAGCCTCCGGTCCTCATACTTCAGATGGGACTTTGGTAAATGGCTGTCACTCCACTCTTACAATTTACATATCCTTACATCCATGTATATCAAGAGAGTTGTAAAACCTTTTTTTTGGTGCTGGCTTAATGACATCTTGCTGGCAAATGTGTATGAAAACAGTACGTCACAAAATTAAAAGTTTACCAACTGACTTTGGAGATATCTTGCGAAATGAAATCACAGAGATATAATATATATAAATAATAAATACAAGATCTTTTATTATTTTAACTTAAGTTTAAATAAATAAAACGTTGATCAAAAACGATTAGTATATATTACTTAAATAAACAGTTTCTCTGAGTAATATCCGGCATAAAGAAAAACATATTTTATCAAATGTGACAAACCGTAACATAAGTATAAGGTTGCATTTAAAATACTCTGTCAATAACAAGTCCTCCGTTTATAGCTTAGTTTTTATAAAATTAATCTTTCTATACAAAGTTAAATTATAAAAAATAACTAAGTAGATTCAAGAGATCTCATTCTTTCAAGCATTGGATAAATAAATATAACAACTTATTTGTTATTATATTATTATTGAGTTAATATCGCGATTTATATACTGTATGTATCTTTAAAAATTATTTTTTTGCTAACTCCAATTGCTTGGTTTTATGAGAGGCTTAACATATAATTCAACACAACATTTACTGGATAGAGTATAAATAGAATCACAAAACATTATGATGAAATAAATTAAGCTTTATTGATAAGAAGGAAGTGCTTGTCGTTTCTCAGTTAAATTTTGCGAAGTTCAGTGCTATATAAACATTCGTTGTCGGCGGTTATTATGAAGTCACAAGCGGTTTTGTTCTTTGCAATTATTGCATCTTTCTTATACAAATCCCTGGCAGGACCTGATGATGTTTCATCTACGGTCTGCCTTCTTCAGGATGAACCAAATCAATGTGGAAAATTCTGCTTAACCGCTCTAAAACCACTCATTGATCACATTGCCCTTCACCAGCAGCAGTGGAATACCCGTGATGCTGTCATGGTGAATGAAACTCAAACGAAATTAAACAGGATTGAAGGACAACTGGATGCACTAAAGGACTCCCTGGTTAAACTTCTTCCGAAAGATCTTGCGACGAAACTGGAGACAATGAAAACACAACAATCAGCTTTAGACAACAAATTGTTAGATCTGCAAAAGACATTTTCCAAAATCAATAGGCAGATGCTCCTAAAGAATTTCAACCAAATTGGTAACAAACACTTCTACGTGGAACAATATCTGAAGAGAAATTGGACAGGGGCTATAACTACTTGTGGTCAGATGGGCGGTCAATTGGCATCCATTGAGAATGAAAGTGAATTTGATGCGATCGTTGCGAAATTAAAATCAGATATTAGCTACAGAGTGGATATAAACGATCTGGCGGAAAAGGGAAAGTTCATCTCCAAGAATTCGGGAAAACCAGCTGTATTTTTCAAGTGGAAGCGAGGAGAACCCAGATACGATAACGAGTCTCAGCGCTGTGTGACCATCAATGGAGGAGGCATGTGGGTTGATAGTTGCAAAAATGATATGTACTTTATATGTGAGGCAAGCTACGAAGAATAATATTAAAAAAAAATACGATATAAAAATATAAATTCATAAAATGAATTACTGAACAAATTAAAAAACTAATTCTTTAAAAATGAATTATTAAATACACACTACTTATAAAACATTTTTTTTTTTCATACATGTATATGTTCCAAATTTAATGTTATATGTTTAATATAATTATGGAAATCTTCTGCAACTTAAAAACAAATTAAAAGATTATAGAATATATTGCTAAAAGACATACAGATTATATTTCAAAAGGCATCAATATTTAAAGAGTATATGGGCAATTCTCCAGAAACGTGCACCGCGGCCAAAAACTTAAAATTGCTTAAAAACGAGTATTTTTAACATGATTACATAAAAAATTGGTCAGGCTGATCAAGACTAAGAGAATTTTTTATTTTCTAAAATAAGTTTCAAAAAAATCTATGTCAATTACGCGCAAACGCAAATAATGTTGTTTTTATCAAAAAAAGGCATAAAAAATGGCATGTTTTGTTTTGATGCCCATCTCTTAAACCGAACCATTTTGCTTTAACTTTTGGTTTCTAATATGACATAAAAAACCCAAAGATTCAATATTAAGTGCAAAAGGACATATCCGATCACCAATATTCGTACAGTTTCAGTTTGAATTATCGCTTTCCAAACTGTCGCGTGCGACATGTCGCGTGCGACCGGGACTAAAATTGAATTTAAAAAATAACTACTTAATATTTTAAAATCAAACAAAATACGTTAGTAAGATAATTCATTGCGTAATTCATTAAAATTTATTGTACTACAATTTTTCATCACGTTTCGCTGAAATCAGAGCTTAAACTGGTTTTTTTCAAATGTAACTTCTATTTTTGTCGCGTGCGAACGCAGTACATTTTAGTGAATATCTTGAAAACAAACAAGGGTTCAAAATCGACCTTTGCACCATTTATAGTGCTAACCAAGAGCTATACGTTTCAATTTTTATAAAATTAAAATAAAGTCTTGGCACATGTGTTTTTTTAGTTTGAATGCGTACGAATGTCGCATTCGACACCAGAGAATTGCCCATATATTAATCATTTAATTCACCAAAAGTTGTTCGAGTTGCTTAAATATTTGTATTTGCCATGTGTTTGCTATAAATATATACAAATAAATATTAAATATATATAAAAATATATTGTTATTATATTTTGCGACCTTTTTCAGTGGCCTTACATTACCGACATCCACTGTTCCTGTGGCAAATGCGAATGGGCTGCACTGCAATTTGGCTTTAATGCATTTTTAATTTGTGTATGCGTGTGCCATAGCCTGCATCAGTGTATGTATATTTATATATACATATATATGCTATATATATATATATATATATATATATATGTGTGTATATGTACTTGTTTGTATGTAAATAGAAAATGAAATTACCGATGCGCTACTTTGTAGCCTCCTCCATTCTGAGAAGGCTGAGCGAATTCCGTTTATGACTATTTTATGCGAACTGCAAATTCTTTTGCACTTTATTTTCGGCGCAGCTTAACATGCAAATTATTATTTGCCCAGTTGTGTACTGGTGTGTGTGTGTGTTGGGTGTGTGTCCTGGTGTGTGTGTTGTTGCAACATTGTGAGGGAATTTTATATGGGCGCCGGAGCCCTACAAAATGCCGTGTGCAGCTTGGGGCGCCTCTCTTTTTACGGTCGACTCCTTGCTTCCGCGCCAGACATCAATTTTTAATTTGCCACAGTTTTTGTTATTTCTCTCTCGTTTCCGCTGATAATTATGTTACCCATTTGTTTGCACTTGGCGGAGCTAATAAAAAGCAGAAAAATAGTTGAGCAAAAAACGCAGTCCGTTAAAGATTAATGTTCATGTCTGCTGTTGGGCAGGGGAAGGAAAATTGGGATGTTCCCCAACTTTGATTTTAAATTGGGAAACAAAAAAATATTGAATGATAAAACTTTGTATTTGCCTGCTTTGCGTCTGCTTATTAAATAAATACACATTTTCCATTTAGTTTTCACTTGCAACTTTTAACATTAGGGTAAAAAAAACCATGTTCGCTTTTCTTGATTCATTTCGTTTTAATTTCCTGTTGCCATCGCCTGAGATGGTTAAGTGACTGCCGGTGATTTATTGGTAGGAAAATCACAGGAAATTGATATAAAATCATAGAAAATTATTTCTATAATAAGAGTTCGATTTTTACTCAGGCTCGAAATGGAAATTTATGACATTTTGTAATGGTAAAATAACCATTTTCTTGCTAGAAAACGAAAAAAAGGGGTAATTTTTAAAACCGGAAATGAGAAAATCGTCCCTTTTGCCTTTGCTGTGGCCCGTAGCAAAGTAATTAATTTTTAATTGATTGGTGGAAAAGCCGGCAAGCACTCCAATTTCTCACTGCCAGGATTATTCTGCAAATTTGCAAATAGCAAAGAGTAAAGTAAAACCCTTCTTGCCATTCTCTAGGTCTAGACACAACATTTCAGGGGCCATGTAACAGGGGACCAAGGGGCTAAGGGCCAAGTTAATGTCACGCACGGCAGTCAGCCCATTGCTGTAGCACTTTTAATGTCCTCATCGCTTTTACAAGTCAGCTAGCTGTATTTCACATCCATGTATGTAGGTATATATTCTGTGTGTGCTCAAGTGTAAAATGGAAAATGAGTTCGCACTTTAGATTAAAATCTGTAAACACGAGCAAGCACGGCACACGGTGTTGCTCTTTGCCCAGATTTGTTGGTTGCATCGCGCTTAAGGCTTATCGCATGGCATTCAATTAATCAGGGAAAAACTTCTTGAGGTGACGGCATCTTGATCACTTTTGCATACTAAATAGAGTGGTTTGCGTTAAGTATACGACATGTGTGGGTGGAGCTCATTCAGGATTATGTAATTATAATGTTAAATGAAAATGTTAAGTCATTAAAGCTAGTCTTTAAACATTTGTATTTGGTTTAAATGATATTTAGAAGCCCTTTCTCTTCGTATTCTCAATTATTATGCTCATATTTGTTCCCAGTTAGGTGCTTGCTGATTTTAAATTATTTAAAATTCAATCAATTTATTAAATACATTATTTTGCAATATACTCTTATAGCCTTAGGTGATTATTGTGGCAGCTTAGCTTAATCCATGATAAATCCATTAAAATAAACAATTTGTATTAGGTATACTATATTACGCATACGCAGTGTGTGCTCTATGCATTGTTCTTATTCCGCGTGACAAAGTGTATCGTGTTGGCCTAATGGATATAGAATGTCAATTAAGTGACGCAGCACAAAACGGAAACGGAAATGAACCCCCCCCCAATGAACCTTTTTGCTTTTGACCAAAATGACAAATGCTTGTCATAAAGCGCTTAGCTTAAAGCACACCCGGAAACATATAATAAGGAAGTGCAGAGAAAATGCCAGAAACAGCGGGACGAGCAATGTAGTGGCAAGTGCGAACATATTTCAATTGTACTGAGAGCTGGCAACATAGTTTTATAAATTAATAACAATAATTTATGCAGCAGCAACTACAGCGCAGCAGCACTCATAATAAATTCAGTGAAACTTTTGTACATATACTCAGGAGGGGCAGCAGGAAAATAACAACAAACAACGGCATCATCTCTATGCGGGAGCAAGTTGCATTTGAAGCCTTACAGGCAGCTTGGCAATTCTCATCAGCTGTGCCACTGCCACGGCCTCGGGCCGGGTGGAAAGAACTATAACTATGCATGTAAATTTATAACCCAGACCATTCCCTTCACAGTTGACCCCCTGAACCCCAAAGCCAGCTTCAATGGGCGACAAAACCCAACAGAAAAGAGGGAGAAAAAAATGAAAACCAAACCGAACAGAACTTGTTTATGAAACAAGTCCAGGCGAGAAGTTGAGTGTATATGTGTGGAGGAGGGTGGTGACATTGTCACACTTGCCAAAAATATATGAATTTTGAATTTCTAGGCCAGGAATTAGATGTAGAAACAAGAACCCTCCGACTTTATCTATTAAACTTTAAATAAAGGTGCTTTAAAGGGATGTAATAAGCATCATAGTTTCATTTAAGCTATAAAAATCTCTTTTTAATTTGTATTATTAATAACAATTAACCATTTTCTTTTAGTGAGGCAGTAGTACATATTTTTTCCTTGGTGCTGCTGGCACAATAACAACACGTAAATCTGGCAGCAGCTGACAAGTACAGAATTTGAGCTTGTTACGCTACCCAAAAACGCCATCACATAGCTCAAAAATGGTTGTGCTCAGCTTCTGGATTGGCAAAAGCAAGAAAGGAGGAGCTTGAAGGGGATCGAAGGACATTACCCGAAGGCATTGAAATATTAATGCTAATGGCTAGAAGGAAACCCATTTCCTTGGCGTCGGGCAATCGCCTGATTGTATTGCTCGCCGAACTTTGGGTGTTTGGACGAAAAACTCGAAAGGACGAACTGGCAGCAGGCGATGAGTTTTTCCCCCAATAAATTAATGAAAATGCAAAAAGCCCTTGCAACAAGCAATTTTTGCTTGGCAACAGGAAGAAGATGGGAGAAAAAATCCAACAAAAATGCGCTATAAGCTTTGGGTGTTATTTTTTTGGAATTTTATACTTATGCAGTCGATATTGCCAAAGTATGAGAAGCCATTGAGATGTTAAGGTTTAGCCGGAAAATAGAGAAATAGAGTTCCTACGCTAGAGTTTTAGTTTAATCCTCTTTTCAAGAAAAAAACAAATGTTTTAAACCATAAAATCCCGTAGCATATTGACAGCTTTAAGGCTTAGTTGCACTTCAGTCTGGCTGGACTTACACTGACCGACCGCACTGTCACGTTCGAGGAACACGTTCCGCATCTTACGCGCTAAAAGGCACAGAGAGTGTCAGTACATACAAGAGGACTTACTTACCAAGGAAGAGTGGCCAAAAAAATACAAATAAAAATAAAAATAAAATACCTTCTCTTGCCCAACAGGATGTTGCATAATTTCGGCATTTTTTTCGGGTTGAAGGTGTAGGTAATTGAATCGTAAT